ATATATATATATATATATATATATATATACAGGTAATGAACAAAAAAGGGAATCACCTGGGTAAATGAGAGACAACAAGTATATGCAATGCAGAGGCTACCACAGAGGTGTAGCTTGTCCATTAATTAAGCAAATAACATCCCAGCATGCAGACGGTCACATATAAAAATGCTGATCAGGCCTAGTTGCCTATACCCATGGCTAGCATGTTTGCAAGAGGAGACCTCAGTGACTTTGAAAGAGGGGTGATTGTTGGGGTGCATTTGGCAGAAGCTTCAGTGACCAAGACAGCTCAACTAGCTGATGTTTCATGAGCAATGGTATCTAAGGTGATGTCAGCATGGAACTCTGAGGGAAAGAAATCATCACCAAAGTGAAACAATGGGTGGAAACGCATACTCCAGGATCGTGATGTCTGTGCATTAATTCAAACTGCAAGGCAAAAGAGGTGAGCAACTGCAAATCTATTGACTACAAATTTTAACCTGGAGTGAGAGCAGCCAGTTTAATCATAAATGGTCCACCAAGAACTCCAAAGAACAGGATACCAAAGTCAGGGTGCAGTATACAAACCACTCATCACATCTGGCAATAAATTGGTAAGTCAGTTTATTTAAATCATGTGTAGCATATGTATTACATATTTACACAGCTCAAAAATTACAGGCCTAAGGTCATAAAATAAAATAATATACAAACGATTTTGAGTCTAATGTTACAGATGAATGACTATGAAATAATCATTTATGTGCACCACTTGAAAACAGTTTGACTGTACCATACATATCAGTATTGAAATACTGAATATCAAAAATATTTACATAGTCATAATAATCAAAATTGAAAATATATGAACAGAAACACCCATTTGTGGTTGCTCTTTATACATTCACAAATTTGGTTTTCTAATATAAAAAAATTAAATAGTTTTATACCACAACCAGAAACAAAGTGGCATTCCAAAAATTGAGAACAACTTGTGGTAATTTTTGTAAATAAAAGTATTTAAAATAGTTGTATATAATCAAACATCTCTAAAGTATCAGTCTAAATGCTACCTGATGTGGTACATTATCTTACAAGATCTTCCCATATTTCTCTCTTCTGTGAAGTTTAGGTAAACTTTTTTTTTGACTGCATGAATAGCAATAGTTTGTAAATGCTTATGCATGAGAAATCAAGAGCAGATTGCAGTATTGTTAGAGCAAACCAAACTTACGGAACATCTTCATCTTGATCAATCGGTTCCACTTCAGCTTGAATGCTTTCCATGGCAGTTGAATAGGCAGCAAGTCTTTGTTTATTGATGGATTTACTTCTCATGAGATTGACACCAGACTCTTGCCCCGAAACTTGTTCTTGGATCTTTTCTACAAATATGACAGAAAATAATAAATCATCATCATTTAAGATTTCAAAATAACTTTAACGATCTATCAAAAATTCAAATAGCCCTATATTTCTTTAACAACACATTAATCATTTAAAGATGAATGTAAATTACTACTAAATCATCAATTCTATTTATAATTTAAAGCAAAAGTTTCCTTACAAAGATCTAAAAAACAACAATCCTAACATTTATGTGACACGTCACTTTAGCCACTAAAGTCTGGCTAACTAAATTTGTTCAACTTTGTTTCTTCAAAGACCAAGATAGCTGCAAATTGGAATAAACTTGCACCAAAATAATAACAATTACCTACTCTAAGGATGAATGTAAAAGAAAGAACATATAAAACTTTAAGTAGAACTATGCTACCTAACAGGTTTCATTATTTAATTTTACACAATTAAATGCAGTTCACAATTAAAGATTCAACTTCAAGTAATATTAATTAGAGGTGTGCCAATTAATCAGCAACAATTACTATAGAAAAAGATTAAAACTGAGAATTTATTTTTTATTTTTGTTGGCAAAAATACTCAAGCTTTAAAATTAACCAACGAAATATAGTAATTTAAGCATGTAGGTTTATAATAAATACACATTATATAACCATGTAAATAAGATATACATGAGATTGTAAAAAACATTAATTTTCATTTTCATTGCATTATCTATCTGTAGTATCATTGATTACATTGGGCAACCAAAAACACATTTCTCTGCTACTAGAGAAAAAGCAACTGTTCCTGAGTGATTTGACAATGCTGATTCAAAAATTCTTCCATTAGTGCATCAACATTTGTACAGAAACACAAGGTATCTTGTATTCTGTAGTGAGAAGCAAGACTGTGAGGGTGACTTCAGTAAATTGAAACTCTTGTTCATGGAGCTAATAATTACATTGCTGTAAATGAGAGCCAAGAAGTTCCCCAAGCTGCTTTGATAGAAACAAGTCATGAATCAAATCAGATCATTTAGCTCTTTTTGTGTTATCAGATGAGGAAGTTTATGTTGAGGTGCCACAGGAATAGAATTACTAGTTGAAGATGACTGTTCTGTTCCCAAATTCTCTGATGGAAGACCATCCACATGAGATACTGGTTTCATTGCAGATGTAATATCTAGATATTTAATGTATTGTTTAGTTTTGTCTGAATATCCAGAAACATTAGTCATGCAAAAATAACAGTCACTTAGATGATCTTTGGGGTCACATCATGGGAGGTACAAATGGCATACTTGCTCTCTTCATATTCATCCACTGTGTTAAGCCAGATGTGTAAATTGTACAACACACATGTGGAGTTCAATGTTTTTCTTGGTCCCCAATTTTACATTCAAAATAGTGGTAGTAAGCTACCTTTATCTTGTGTGTGATGTTTTTCTGTCGCGAAACTGTAATATATTTTCCAAAAATGTAGAAGAAACTGTTTGGGTGAATTTTGCACTTTCAGACTTTACTTTAAAATGATTTTCTAAAAAAAAATTAAAAGAACTTATGTTTACAGAACTAGAATTTAAAAAGATTTAAAAAAACTAAGTTTTGCAGAATTTGATTATATTGTGGGTATGACTCAAAGAAGAAGATTGAACTTTGTTTTGTGTGGAATGAGGCGAACTGACCAAGTGAGTGAGAGGCAACAGAGATGAGCATCTGACTCTTTGTTGTAAAAATCAAAGTATAGTACACTAAGCCTTGGATGAAGCTAAAAAAACTGCAATAAAAATAATAAACTTTCATATCTGTTTATAAGAGAAAGACAAACTTTGTATTTCCTTATACGTTTTAAGCCTAAAAGGCTCATGAAGATACTAATAAATGCAGCCTTGATCTTTGTAGAGGTTTTCACACCTTAAATTTGGTATGTGATTTACTTCAGGAGAATGTAAAATCCAACAACCATTTACTGATATGCAGTATATGTGTGTGTGTATATACATATATCTATACTACGAAATGAAATACAGAATTTAACCTTGTTTTCAGTGAAAATGTACAAAATTAAGCAAGAGGAATAGGCATCAGTTATTTTTAATAAGAAATATTTAAGGAAAAGTAACATTAAACACATACTTAAATGAACTTTAGGTTTTGTTATAATTTTTTATTTAACAAGCTTTTGGACTTTGACAAGTAAGCTTTCATGTACAACTATGAACTATCAGAAAATTTTAAAAAGCACATTTTGCTAAATAACAATATCAACATTTAACCAACTGACTACTGATTCGCCATATAAGTATGGTCCACCTCTGGCAGTTGAATGCAAATTTGCTGTATGCAGTGTATAGCTTGCAAAAATTATATGCATTTAAAACAGCTGCAGTCAAATGGTTAAACATTTTAAAGATATCAATTATAAAACATAGTTGGATTGAATAATTTATCAAAATAATTCGAAAATCCAATTGCAGGTAATCTTCTATGCAGCATATATATTTTCTACATTAAAAAGATCAGAAAGTAGCTCAAACAAAAACAATAAAGAAATTAAAAGAAAATCACTCTTTTAGACTTAGATCTCTATTACACCCAGTGATATGTTTGTTTTCCTTAACAAATCATAACCAGCAAGCATTCATTTGTTAGACATGGTTATTTTAGAACCTAAAGAAGAACCACTGATTTTTCCTTTCTCTTTTTGGTGTCGCCTCCTTCATCTATAATTTTTACTTGGTTTAAATCAGTCGTGCTTGTTTATTTTGTAGGATAACAGTTCAACAACTCAAAATGAAATATCTAGTCTGCAAGTGTGACAGATTGTGAATTTGATACTATAAAGAAACAAGTAATAAAACTGAGAGAACAAATAAATTAGTAAAACTTCATAAAATTCTAATATGTTGAAAAATGTCATCAAATTAGTAAAACTTCATAAAATTCTAATATGTTGAAAAATCAACTGAAGGAACAAGTTCTGAAAAAGTGTCTTTATCTAATATCTGACAACACAGCCAACCTTGACAGTGCTCCTAGATAGGAAGTAGCCATTCAGTCAAAAGAACTAGTTGCTTATGAAGCAAGTTTCCAAATTAGGGAAGTTATGAATCAGACAGCACATAGCAACAAAAACACCCAGCATCACTACCCACCCAAGATCACTGATTCTAAAGAGCCCAAGAAAGAATAAAATTATTCTGACATTATTGGCAGGTAAGGAAATTCTATATGAACAGGAAACAGTACGTCATTCCCTTTACAATCTTAAACACCTCTATCAGTTCTCCCTAACTCTTCTTTTTTCAAGAGAAAACAATTTGAGATATTTTAGCCTCTCCTCATATGACAACCTCTCCATCCTAGACACCATTCTAGTAACCCTTCTCTGGACCCTTTCCAACAATTCAATGTCTTTCCTAAGGTAAGGAGCCCAAGACTGAACACAATATTACAAATGTGGCCTAACCAGTGTCCTGTACCATGAAATTATAACCTCTTTAGACTTGTATTCAATATTTCTGTAGATACAACCTAAATTCCTATTTGTCCTACCACTGGCAACAGCACACTGCTTGGATGGCTTTAGAGACTGACTGACTATTATATCAAGATCCCTTTCATTCATAACACTATATTAAGGATATTCCATTCCAAATTATACTTATAATTCAAATTATGATAACCCACATACATTATCTTGCATTTATTATAATTAAAACCTATCTACCATGTATTGTCCAACTCACTAAATGATCTAAATCCTTTTGTAAATCAGCAGCATCCTCTTCACAGCTAGGAACACCCAAGACCTTAATATCATCTGCAAATTTAAGTCATTTATTGACTATTCCTTCATCTATGTCATTAATGTAAATTAAAAAAAGCAATGGTCCAAAGACTGAGCCTTGAGGTACCCCACTTGTGAGGTTAATCCAGTTTGACTGAACTCCATTTGTAACAACCCTCTGCTTTCTTCCATCCAGCCACTCTTCTATCCAATTTGCTAACTTATCCTCCACACCTATAGAGCTAATTTTTTTTACAAGCCTTTTATGCGACACCTTGTCAAATGCTTTCTGAAAATCCAGATCTACACCCTTACCCTCATCTACATAAGCAGTAACCTTGTCAAAGAATGTTAAAATATTTGAAAGGCAAGATTTTCCCTTAGTGAAACCATGTTGACTATTCAATAAAATTCTAAACTTTGTTAAATGACTTTGCAAAGCATCTTTTAACAGACTTTACAAAACATTTTCCACAACTGATGCAAGACTAATGGGTCTATAGTTACTGGGACAATTTTTATCACCTCCCTTGAAAAGAGGAGTTACATTAGCTAACTTCCAATCCTCTGGTAGCTGCCCACTATTCAAGGACTGAAAAAAATAGTAGTAAGTGTTTCATATATCTAATCATTAACCTCTTTCAAAACCCTTGGGGAAATATTATCTGGCCCAGGAGCCTTATCGTTTTGTAAACTTCCCAATGTTTTCTTAACTAACTCAGAATTAATGCAGTCATCCAGTTTGATCTTGTTTCCATCTATCAACTGTTCAAGATGAGGAATACTGCTTAAATTTTCATTAGTAAAAACTGAAGAAAAAGCAAAATTTAATAACCATAATCATCAGATACTAGCCTTCCTTTGTCATCCCTAAAGGGTCCTACCCCACCCCCATCCTAACATTTTGTTTACCCTTAACGTATTTAAAGAAATCCTTACTGTTAATTTTTACAAATCTAAATTAATTAAATCTCTTACTCTTTGTGAGCCAACCTGGTTTTTTTACTTGCAGCTACCCTTTTCTTTCTATAAGGAATATGTTTACCTTAAATATTTAAAAATTACCTTTAAATATTTTCCACATCTGATCAGTGTCTCCAAATAACTCAGCTGCCCAATTCACAACAGAGTAATGAAGAGGATATTATTTGTACTGAAAGTACTTAGAATTATAGAACAGCTGTTAAACACTAATTTCTCATTAACTAATAGAACACAAACTACTTTCATTGGAACTCTCAGTTCTTCAAAATGACAGATGGTACCCACATTAGCTTACTATTATATCTCATAGTTGGTAAGCTTAAAAGCAATCTTTTGATGCAACAACCATTACATCAGAATTACATACACCGACTATGACTTTAGCAGGTTGATATAATTTTGTTTTATGGTAAAATGGAAACCAAACATTAAATCACTTTGAATTACCTCTGAATACCTACAAGTTACCCTGGAAGTAAACAATCAACTCCCTACCTTTCTATTATATTAGTTACAGAGAAAACTACTAACTATGTACCAAAAACAGCTACAGAGTAACCTTAAACAACGAATGTTAAAACTTCAAATCCTATTATCCTGTTTCAGTAAAAAGTAACAGTGTTAAGACACATGCACATAGCACAAAATATTTATGCAATAAACAAGTATACTGAAATGGATCAAAAGTAGCTTAAGCAAGTTTATCAAAACAAGTAGCAACAAAGAAAAATCTTAATATCAATAAACTAACCAAAGCATCTATAAAACCTGATGCTGGATGAAAAGTTAGGGGTAAACAAAATATCAAGTTACATCATGCACTAGTAGCCCACTGTTATTTGAGGAGAAATTTTTATATAATTTTTTAATTTTCAATTTTCGTATCTAATCTAACATAAAAAATAAGAAATATGCATAAAAACCAAAATATTTAGTACTTTAGCCTCGAGACTTTTTGCACTCAGGTGCATGGTTTAGTGAGCCTATTTTTTTCTAACTGCGTTAGACATCTAAAAATAATTCACATAGCTTTCAGAAATGTATTTCAGAACATAAAATATATATATATAGTCAGATACCAGAATAGAATATCCCAAACATCCTTAATCCAAACACATCTAGCACTTATGGCAAAATATAAGCTTTTACTGTTAAAACAAACTGACAATTGTCTGATTTATGCAGTGTAGAACATGCTCTTTCTGTTGGTTATAAATATGTCCAATAGCAATATCAGACAGAATTATAGACATTTCTTAAAAGACAGAAGATATAGGAGAGGTGTGTGTCAATGTGGGTTGAACAAATAGTGATATCTCACTAAAATAAGAGGTTGAAATATATAATATGGTTTGTCAATATCTACGGTATGCATTTCTAATTGTTTGAAAAATCTGAAGCTCTTATATACGGGAATAGAAAAAAATCTATAAATGAGAAATCAAAGTTCTTCCTCTTCATGTGACTCTGAGAGGTGAAGATTGAGAATTTATTCAAATATTTCCTTTTGAAATTAAGAAATTAAAACTTATATAACATAAAGCTTAGATTATAAGCTATATTTTGATATCAAGTTTATTGAATACATTGATAATAAAGGAGTTTAATTACATTTTGAATGTAACTGTAAAAAAAGAAATGAAAGAACAAGGCCATCCACTGAATGCTTGTTTGATACAATCAATCAGGGAAATCAAACAATTCATTGTACACAGTATTTTTCTAAGTCTAAGCAAATTATTTTTCTAAATGCTCTTTTATCTTTATTGCTTAGTTTGGTTTTCTCACCTCTTTTAATATAAAAATATATATACAACATACCAGAAAAGGTTATGTGAAATTGGATTTTTTTCTTATCAATTCAATAAATTATTGTTACACACTATAAAACTTTTCAAAGTCAATGTTTTTAGATACATATCTATGCTTCAAAATTGATAGATAAACAATTTGCATGATAGCTCATCAGTTGAAGGCTCATTTTGTGGTCATAATCTCTAAAATTCACCAAATTAAACAAATTTATTCCACGTTGTAAGTCTGAATTGATGGTTACAATTACTAGATAAAATAATAAACTGAAATAAATTCTTGCTAACAAAGACAATTAGAACCCTTAAATACACAGAAACAGTATGCAAACTTTGTTAGAAAGCTTACATGGTTCATAGTGAATTGTAATTAGCTTCAATAGCTTTAGGTAACAAAAAAGTCTTAAAAAAGGATGGTAAAACATGCCTCAAGAGAAAGTTGTGGCTACTTCTAAGGTTTCTGCAAACACTCAAACTTGTCTAAAACTGACTTTCGATGATAGAGTTATTTAAACATGTTTTGACAGATGTTTTAACAATATTTCTAATAATTACACAAAGTTATTGTTTTGCATTAGCTATGTAATGATATGTTTTATAGAACATGTGTTTTTGTTTTATGAAAAATAGACTACTAGAACTACCAAAGCTAGTAATTACATATTTCTGGTTTCATCAAACCCAGCATTCAAATATATGTGTTGTAAGACTGGAGATAAAGTAAAGCTGCTGCACTATCCTCTAACAATTTCTTTTTCTTCTACATCACAAATTTTTATGCATCTTTATGAAATTACTTCCCGGATCTTTATTCAAAATAAAATTAATTTGTATATATTTTAAGCTTGAGAACTTTAATGAACTGCAACTGTCTGTTGAAAGAAAATTACAGAAGCTAAAACATTATCTCCTTTTCTTTCAAGAGGCAGTTGCAGTTCATTAAAGTTCTCAAACCTACTCTTCTACTCTGCCTAAAGTTTCACTGTATACATTTTACTTCTCTTCCCAGTTAATAACAAAAAAAAACAACTTTGAACAATCGTTTTTCAGCAAAAACACGTTCACATATATACACAGTAAAGCTTGTTTCTTATAATATTACACATCATCATCAAATAACACAGCCTTCACATAATACGTACATATATATATATATGAAAAAATAATATTTTGATACTGAAACACGAGACAACAGATTAAGTAGTTTTTTAGAATATTAAGATGGAAATTAGTTTAACTTGCTTCTGCTTATTTTCTACCTTTCAAACACAAGATAGTTGCAACTAAGATAAATTTTCTGTTTTCTGCATCTATTTATATTTTACAGTTATTTGCACTGAAATATCTTACCTCCTGCTGAAATTGTTGTACTGTTTTCTTTTCCATCTTCAATGTTTAATTTCTTTTGTTGCTGCTGTTCCTATAAAACATTTTCAATCACAGATTTATCAAAATACTTAGTTTCCAAATGTTTAAGAATTAATTACATGGTACAAGTAAAGCAGAATCCAATAAAAAACACTTTATTTTACAAGGTAAGTTAAATAACTTGATTTTTAAGCATATCAGATCACCAGTGATAACTACAAACTATGCATCTTGGTTGCCTGAAATGTCAAACAAGTAATTAAATTTAAATCCTCCATTTCTTAGCATGTCATTCCTCAATAATAGCAATAATAATTTATATTAACTAGCAGAGACGTGCAAAATATTTGCTGTCAAATTAGTGTCTTTATTGCAACAGTTTCTTTAAATACAAGATTTGTAGAATAATACAAACAAAATGTAACTGTAGACACTGAAATGTGTTAGTCCACTTGTATTTAGGTTGTACTTTACTAAAACCTTAACTAATGTTAGGCCTAAAATCGATAGAGAGATAAATTAGCACTGAACCATGTACGTTTTTTACTGTAGCTTAGTTAGGACTAAACAATACTGTACTTAATACTATCTATAAATAAACTTGCAATGTTATTCTAGAACCTAACGTCAGACCTTTTTGGAATCTTCAAGCTTTTAATATTATTGTACTAAATAGTTAATACAAAATGTTTACATCCAACTTTTTATGTTATTCCTTCATTCACAGAGCAGTTGTAGTGACTTGTTTGTTGAGCTTTCCAGCTCTCTAGTGCAGGCAAGCACTTGCACTGTTTTTCTGGGTAAAATTCTTACTGTGCATGTTTATAAGGTGTACTAACAGCAGAATTATAGTATGACAAGATTTCAGTGTCTGCAATTAGAATTCTTTTATATTATTCTAGAAATCCTGTATTTAAAGAAATAATGGTGCAATAAAGACACTAATCTGAGCACAAATGTTTTGTGGGTCTTTGCTAGTCTATTATAACAATACTCAATTTTGTCTGTCATAATTATGTGTGCATATCTTACTATCAAAATATGCCCGCGTGCACACGTCATTTCCATAACAGAAACATGAACAAGTGTATTATTATACAGATCATTCATTATATTGTTATCTAAGACCTTTTAAAAAGTTTACAGTATTTGGAGAAGAACTAAATTTGCACCCTTCAATTTTTATCCCATGATATTAACAAATGTAATACCACCTGGTACGGTACCACTTTGGCACATTTTATTACTTTTCAGAATTAGCCACAAACCTATTAAAATCTTAATCCAGCACTTTGATGTATGGATTTTATCATCTTAAAATACTTTCATTAATATAAAAAGTGCATAATAAACATACACACCACCCATTAAACTTACAAAAGTAACTTATAAAAAGCAAGTTCACAATTTCTATAATACATTTGCCAATGAAGTAATAATTGATAAAGATTCTTATGAAAATGTTGTTAGTAACAGTTAATGATGGGTTTTTTCTTAAACCATAAGGTCACCAAATTTATTTCCTGTTTTACAAATCATACATCTGAAGTTGAAGAAACAAAATGAAATTAAAAAATTTGTAATATGCCATTAATTATGGAAATAATATAGTTACCATGTTTTATTTGTTTCATTAAGATTATCTTCAACAATTCCCCATAACATATTTTTTTCATTTTTAATAGACTTATTTTCCTAATTCTGGTTATCCTCTGAATTCAGATATGTTGACTGTGCTTCATTATGTTTCTGGTCATTTCAATTCTCTATCTCAACAGTATAATCTTTATCTCTACATGTTTTTTAGTAAGAAATATGCCAATTGATGTGTAGTGTACAAATTTCTTATATTAACAAGAATTAAATTACATTTTATACCATAAATAAATAATGTCAATGATAAAAATAAAAGCCTATTTCAAAAGCCTATTGTTACTTGTCAGTTTGACATAGCTTTAAATGTAATAAAAACATGTAAAATTCAATAATAAATTACTGTCACTCAATACTTTAATTTAAAAAAATGGAATTTCATCTTTCAAAGTTATAACCCTTAAACCTACCATTTTTTCCCTTGCAGCTTGGTCCAAGTTATGAACACCAATCAATAAGCTGTAATCCATGATCTTAAAGCTCTCTAAAACCTATATAAAAAAAAGAAAAAATTATAGACCTAAAAAGGCTTAAAAATAGCAATAAAATCACATGTATCAAAATTATATCATGATTTTAATTTGTAGTAAGCAGAATAAAAAAGAAATCATTTAACACTGTCCACAAAATGAGGAATTCCACTGATATTAACTAGTTCACTAAAACTTATAAGTCCATTAAATAGAAATAGCATATCAAATACTGCATAAATAAAATCCCACCCTTGACAAGAAAAATATTAATTTAGGTATGGTTCTATGTACAATGCCATGTAGTTCAAAGTTCTTTATTTTTTTCAGGTATAAAGCATACCACCAGCAAATGGCAACAGTTATTACTCTAAACCCTATTACATGTTGAGCAGCTTTCTAGTATCTAATGCACACTTCCATATCTAATCTCAAAATTTAAGTAAAAATAGTAATTTAACTATTTCCACAATTAATACCTGCACCACTAAAGGTGATCAAAGTTATGTTTTCACCCCTGTGTGTTTGTCAGTGAGATTTCTCAAAAATGGCTGAATGGATTTGGACAAAAGTTGATATACATTTGGAATAACACCAAACTTAGAAGTGATTAGTTTTTCAAAGGTCCAGGTCATGAAAATGCAAAAAAAAAAAAAAAAAAATCCCTATCTGTTAAGATATAGACTGATTTTTCATACTATTTTTGCTGTGTAATTCACTTAAAATGATCAGATTTTGGTGAAACTTGGACATATGTAGAATAATATGCCTCATTGTCCTGCCAAAAAATGGTCTATGTCCATTGATTACAAGAGAAATAAAGACAAATTTTCATATTTTTTGAGGGCCAAATATGATCAATGCTGCATAGTAGAGGTATGTGCTCCACTGAGTGCCCTCTAGTTTCACTTGAACTTACTTAAAAATTAATATCTAGAAACTTTGCAAAATTTATTCAGTATAATTTGCAAAAACAAATTTTAAAAAATGTTTGAATTTTGATCTCTGTACAGCTACATGGAGTATCACCTGTAAACATGCTTATAGGTTTATTTAAAATTTTTCTGCCCATTCTAAAGTATAGATCTGTATTCACTCAAACTGTCATTTTTCATAATCAGCCTTATCCACATTTTTTTCTCTTGCAAATTTTATTGTCAAAGATTTTTCTTCAAAAACCTAGACGGCAAGCCTCTTATGATGTCACAAGTAGGTTGGACACAACGAAGAAACCTTAGCCTTGATACCCAACAGAACCAATGATGAAAATGACTGGATAGAAAAGATTCTTGCCTATCTATATCAACATAAAGTAAATAGTGAATTAAGCAATAACTTATGGTTCCTGAGAAAGTGACTAGTCGAAGTTCTCATAGTGGAGAATAGAGGAAGTTTATTAAACTTAAGAACAAGTCACAAACCTAGAATTTTTTTCTTTTTAGTTTCTTTTTGTTCATGATAATTTTATTGCTTCATATTGTGTCTTTCTGAATGATAAACGAATATTCTTTAGATAAAAAGATGATAAGGGTTAATGAGTATGGTAAGCTAGAAGTTATGGAAAAGGTTTGTTGAATTTCAAGCAATGCTACTCTCTAGAGCTATCTGTGCTAGCTGTCCCAATTTAGAAGTTATGGACTAGAGGGAAGACACCACCCACAGCCAGTTCTTGGAATATTCTTTTACCAGAAAAAGTGGAATTGACCATCACATTATAATGTTTCCACAGCAGAACGGTGAGCATGTTCAAGTTCAAATCCACAGACTGCAAGTTGAGTACCCTAACCATCAGGATATACACCAGGCCCCTCTCCAAAACGAAACTATTCAGTTAACAGAAATGTTTTTTTTTATTTGTGTGTATGTGTGTGTGTGTATGTATGTAAATTATTGAAAATAAATGATAATCTGAGAGAAATTGAGCTTAATAAAAGTATAGTTGGAAAAATATTGTCTACATCAGTATAGGTCTACAATACAAGTGCAAGTTGTGTTTCAACTGGTCGATGCTTTTTACTGTTCATCAGTGTTTTATGCTATTTTCTCACAAAACTGTTTCAATAGGTAAAGATAAATAACAAGTATAAATAAAATGGAAGTTTGTAATCAATAATATTAAAAAAAAAGATTTTTTCAATATTTTCTCATCTGTTCATACAAGAAAATTAGTATCTTGTTATTAGAACATTATCACAACATTTAAGGTTTTACTGAAAAACAAGTCTATTGGATACATTTACAAAATTTTGGACAAACAAATATGAAAAAGTATTTTTTAATGTATTTTAAAAACATCTTTTCACAACAAAATTTATGAAAATTCACAATCTACAATATTATACTGAACCCAATTATATAATTTTATAGACAAATTTGGATATTATGTATACAGTATTTACCAGATTTCATGCAACTAGGTTAAGCATCTTAAATGTGAGAACAAAAAAAATGGGGGGGGGGGGGGTCATGATGTCACCCTGCTGGTACGGAAACAAGGTAAAGGATATTTAAGTACAAACACTTCGGTAATTGAATGTTATGACTACAGTGAAGTGTGAGTTGACAAACAGAATTCCCCAAGTATACTATCTGCTTCTTTTAATATTTTTTGCATAATGATTAACTGCACATAACCATTCCTAGTTTTGAACTGATAGACTAGAAGGAAGGCACTTGGTCAACATAACTCACTGCCAACACTTGGGCTACTCTTGTCTAATTCATGCCCCACCTCTTAAAATTATTTTGAAAAAAAACAGCATTCTTTTGTATATACTATTTACAAATAATTTATGTGTTGATGTAACTCTGCTGATCGTGATAAGTTAAAAGGCTTTAATTAACTTGATTAAATTCTTGATTAAATACAGTAATAATTCGCTTTGTACAATTTAAGTATAGAAATTTATATATTTTCAATAAAATCTATAATCAACTTGGTATAATTAAACTGATCTGAGATCACCATTGCTGCCAATTATAACTACACTTGAAAAATTACAGAAATAGCTTCACTGTTTATTTTGTCTAAATGTGGAATTTTAAATAAAATACTTTACTTGTTACAGAAGTTCTTTATGAAATATTATCCAAAGGACAGCTTTTTTTTTATAGCCAATATTATAATTTTCATTACCCAAATTATACTTAATCTTATAAACATTACATTTTTATGCACAAACATAAATTTCGTTTCATTTTGTGTTCAAATGTGTTTTAAAAGTAATCAACTAAATCACTCCACTGTAACCTTCAAGACAATAAATAGGAGGATGAGCAGAATTTAAACATAAAAGAAAAAGAAAGAACAAATTATAAAACTAACTTTAAATGAACAACCACAAATTCCACAAAACTCTATCTACTTTATTTCTCTCAGTTTCATTAACAACAAGTTACTGCTATGACATAGGCTGAAAACATTAGCAAAGTGGGAGAATCGATATGTATAACAATGGTAATAAAACCAGGGTTAGGAGTTACAAAAATAATACATAATATGAAGCTTTAGAAACAGATGTAGAATGATCTTAAGTAGTTATGTTGCATTATATAAATTAAAATAAAATAACAGATTTTCTACAGGTATAAACTATATTATAGATATATTTAGTAAAATAAATATGGCAGTTCAGCAACTGGTTTATCTACAACAAGACTAAATCTAATATTCATCTATAGTGATCTGCTTATACACTCACTTCTTTAGTTATACTGATTCAAAGCCCTTAAGTGTTTCAAATCTCTCATATAGATCTCATTACTAATAGTATGTTATTTTATAAATTACATAACTCGTGGTTTATCTGTCACCTATACCTGCTTTTTTTTAGTGAGATAATTACTTTTCTTGCATTTATTGTTAAGTGTAATAATAATGAAATAATAGATCACAACATAAACATAAGTTCACAATTGAATGTCCTTTAAAGATAGACATAGATGATTTTTTTAAACTGGAAATATAAGGAAGCATTATTTATTTCAAAATACAAGCTAGAAATTAACAGACTGTAGATGGGTATTATGATTTAATCTTGTTATAGATAAACCAGTTCCTCTACTGTTATTTTTATATTATTAAAGATATCTATAATGCGGTTAATTTTGCTACACCTATAATTTTCCCCAAAATTGGTAAATTGCAACTTAACAAAAACTTGTGATCATTATATATCTGTTTTTAATGCATCATTTTATATACTATTTCTGTAATACTTATGTGTCCCAATGTATCTATCCATGTGTATTATCACTCTAATAAGTTAGAATTAATTATCCCATTCTTCATTGGCTGAAACAACTTCTATGTTTATATTCTTTAAGCCTAATACCCATAGTAGTAAGTTGTTCCAGGTGAAGTTGCATAAACGAAACACTAACAGATGAAATAAATAAAAAATTTTTGGAGCTTATGGTCATTCAATTAAAGGTAATTGTATCTAAAGTACTTGAGCATATATTTAATGTTTTTTTTTTTTAAACTAAAAAAAATTATTTTAGTTTGACTCCAGCAGCTCAAACATCATATCAGAGAAGTATTTTAACATCACATTCTTCTCCAATTAAACCTAAAACAGTAACAAGCCATCTAAAAGGTGTACACATTATAAACATTCATCCCAACATGTAATGGCTACCCAGAAAAAACAATTAATCACTTCACTTTCAAATGTAGTATTAAAACAGTAAAATTTTACATTGCAGGTTGTACACTAACTAATATTTAAAGCTCATACAATTTTAATCAAATGTAAACATCAGAATAAATTTATTAAACTGAAATTATTTAACAACATGATAGCTAAAAAATCAATGTAACAGACGGATGTTTCAAGTTCCAACAAAAATCTTTTCCAAGGGTCTGACTGAAGAACAAGATCTTCATCAACTGTGTTGCATCACCTACTGGTTTGTCTTTAACAGTTAGCAAAGGGGTAGCAGCCAGCATCCCTATGTAATATCAAATATGGACATCTAGTAATATGCCACCCTTCTGAACACATCACATTTTGTTTAATATCCAATATTTCATAATTGTGCAAGAATGATTTGTGTTCAGCAAGATCAGATTTATTTACTGCACATTTACATTTCCCAAATCATATACAATTACATTCATTATAAAAGTTTACAAGAGATGTGTACACACTGCTGTGTTGACACCTGATAAAACTACTTTTGGTTTTACACATACAGTGTGTGTGTGTGTGTGGTATTAGTAGAAAATATCAAAATCTGACAAAATATGTAAAGTTGTGGCATTTCACTCAAACCCCATTATTATCTAACCACACAAATTTGAACATTTGGCCACTATGATATGCTTTCTAAAAGTTTTTGAAAACTAAAAACCATCACCGACAATGTTTGTACAGTGAATACTCACTCAACCTTCAAATGTTTTAATCATCCCTGTTTATGCACTTCTTAACAGAACGACTTTATAAAACTCCTACAAAATTTTTAATTAATCATCCACATTTTTGCATTAATAAACAGAATACTCGGAACTCAACAAAATACTAAATTGGTAACAAAATTTTAGAAAATTACACAACAGACCTATTTGACCTCAAATAAAAACATGTTCAAACATGCTTATTGCACATGCATTTTCTTTAAAATATAAAAATGCAACATTGTTATTAGCATAAAATGACAAACAATACTATAAAAACTGCTTTTTTAAAAATATTCTGATACTACAGCATTACATTCAAATTATGGTTTAGACATTTTGCAGTAGAAAAATTTTTGTTAAATTTTAGCACAAACAGAAATTAACAGGCATCCATAAGAGTAACTCTTAGTAGGCTTTTCACCTATACACGTATTTGTTTTTTTGCATATTTCTTTTCCTCTTCTTTTCCATATGTATACAGAATGGATGGAGAGTCATCTGTTTTCCCAAATGATATTATTGTGCTAGTAGAATATGTCAAAATTTGACAGAATGTTTTGGTATTTCAAGATAGTCTAAAACTAAGGATTATCTAATTCATATTAGAAAAGTTCCTCATAAATAACATTTTCAATATTTGCACCTCCAGATTTGTAACTATGACCATACCCTCGATAGGGCAAAGTAGAGCTGACTGTGAGAATAAAGCAACTCAGATAGAATATCCTAGTTCCCAAGTTATATCATTTGTATAAAATACATAATTACTCTATCCAATTCAAGCAAAATCATTATACTTGAAGGATACAATTATCTTATACATGATATTGTCATTGTCCACTCTAGGGTATCTGGAACATATGAATAAGGTTAAGACCTATATTTTCAGGTTATTGAAATATACATGAATTTTGATCATAGCTCATTTAAATAAAAAATTTTATAGTCAGTAGTAACACAAATATTTGTTAGTGCATGACCAATGCTGCAAGTTCCTGCCAGTTTTAGCTCTTCTAAACTTTGAAAATAACTAAAAAGTAGTTAAAATAGATGTCACAAACTTAGTAACATAAAAAAAGTTTAATAATTGGATTAAAATTCATTAATAATTAGTCTTAAAAATATTAGAAAAGCTCTCAACTGCAGCAGAATACAACAAATAATTTAATGACTATTTGAAATTTATCTAACACTATTCTTCCTGGAAAACTGGACTGGTAATTAAGAAACCACATAATCTTATTGTTATTCTTAACTTGATGTAATATCACACACACTTATCAACATCACCTACCGAGTGTTATTACTTACCCTACAATCCCTTTGAATGGTTTTAATTAATGCACTGAATGTTTCGGCTTCTAGTAATATCCCTTCAGGATGATGTTCCATAAAATCTAAATCTTTAAAAGTGGGAGATGCTTTATTTCGCTCATACTTGTTAGCCTTTCTTTTATACGTAGAACCTTTTAAGTCATACTTCTGATGCATTTTAATTGATGATGGAAGCAAGTTGTTCATCACTGCCATTCTTACGTTCTTCCCACCACACTACAATTTAACAAGTAAAAATATTCAACATCTGCAGAGTGTTGATAAAATCCTTGAATTAGCTTATGATCTACTAATGGTGAAAATTAAAAAAAAACTAGTTTCTGGCAAAAAATTACTAAAGAGAAGAACACTGTCATAAAAATACATAATGTTAATAACAATAATAAAACTCAAACCCTAGCAAAGTTTTCTATACCTTATCTTCATACATACCAATTTTCTGGTATAAATGAAAACAAAGTACACATTATCACTAAATATAATATTTAAAAAAAAAAACAACGAAAAACTCTTGAATCAGAATGTAAATGTTAAGCAGAGTGGTTGCTTCTTTTAGAAAACAAGAATCTCAAAAGATATGCTACAGTAAATCAATAGGCTTTTATAAACAGCATCAGTGAAGTTCAGCATTTTTCTCATGGTAGAATACAGTATCAAGTTTCATTAACTGATTACTTCTCTAATGTCATGAATCAGGTGTATAATCAGGCCACCTTAAATTTAATTATCAGGTTTTTATTGGCTCAAGTTTGGAATTACCAAGTGAAAGGTGTGTGGAGAAACAGGCAGTTAAGTCAGTATCAGAATTTACCATTAGTTTTTATCATTATCAAATGTATGTTTGCATCAACAATCTTGTAATTAGCACTGATATCACCATGCAAGTTGCAGTATGGAGAGGCATCAGTGTAGTTACAGGATTATTATTTTGTTACATAATAAAAACAGCATATATATGGTGTACTTTTGTTGGTACATTACTTTACAATGTTATTTGTACGTAATCCTATAGCTTAACACATACTTTACTAAATTCAAGTTTTAAGGCATAACAGATAGTTATTTGTTTCTCTTAAATCCAGAACATCTCCCAACTGTTGCATAGTTCAGAAAGGGAGGGACACAAGGGATGGAGAAGCCTGTGATAAAATATCTATGCTATAGTCTTTGAATTTTATATTTTCTTCATCACATACAGACCAATAATGATATTTAATAGGTCAATGACATATATATGCATACCTAAAGAAGCTATTCTCCACAAATGAAGTAGCACTACAATGATTATTTTATCATGCTATTCTTTATGGTTTTCTGACACTTATAGACATTAACACTGTATTTTTGCTTTCATTTTTAGATCATCATATTTCATCATTGTTTTGGCAGATCACACTAAAATCATTCTTTAAACAATTTGATGGTAGTCAACAATCAAGTTTCCAGCAATGCGGAAGTGACAGTTCAGCTTACTCTGAAACTCAAAGTACAACTCTCCAATCATCTACCTCACCTCAGTAGACCAGATTCGTGTTACAAACAGGAGACACTATCAGTCCCTCTATCACACATTCACAATTCATTGCACACAGTGAAATTTCCCCTCTATCATCACCATACCTTGGCTTGCCAAGAGCATTCAAGAAGATTGTTCAAGTCAACCTTGTTAGGTGATGTTTCATCTTCCACCACCTGCGAAGGAAATCTGTGGATTTGACAACAGAAGTGGAGTGCTTCAACTGATTGGCAAAAATAAATGCAGCAAAAACATGGATAAGAGCAAGGTTTGTTTTTCTAACCAAGACCTATGCAGAAACATCCAGAAAAAAACTGGAAATTGTAAAAGAATCAGGCACACATTGCTTAAACACGGTTGTGGGGGAAAACTTGAAATTTGTATGTCATACAGCTTGTGTACAGGCTGTTACCCACCAACATCTATCAACTTCTAGCAATGTTAATGTCCATCCTTGGGTATGAATGACATCATGACTGGATAAAAACATTTCACTAAACTCACAAAAATATTTCTCACAATGCATTTTGATTGTAAGCATACCACACTGGCAGCATGGTCCTTCCCTCCAAGTTTCATAGTAGATACACTGGCAGCATGGTCCTTCCCTCCAAGTTTCATAGTAGATACACTGCAGCAGGATATATCCATGAAGGAAATAACTTTGTACCATTTAGACCCAGTGTTTAAAATTGCAAACATGTCATTATTAAGGATCACAGAGAAATTGCTAGCATAACTGCAGCTCAGCAGCCTACTCAGCTGCTTCTGGAAATCCAAACTTCAACAGCCATTGGGATTGCTCTTGATGATTTAGTTGATCAAATGCAACTTGATAACAAGCTCACTGCACTTAGTTTGTAGCACAACAGGGTGAGCTAAAGATAAAATTTTTAGGAATGTGGAACCACAATCCAGGAATACTGCGGGCCTGTTTTTGACTGATGTCTGTGAAATTGTTTAGTCCACAGAGAAATGTTTGCACAAAGTTTCCAGAGCTGGCAGAGATCTTCAATCAATGACGAAAGTCAAGAGCATTAGAAGAGAATAATAGAGAATAAATGGGAATAGAGCTGTGCAAAGAGCCAATTTACTGGCATTTGAACTGATGGTACAAAATTCCAAAAATTTGAAAATTCCAAAAATCAAAGTGTTTTGTAGATCAGATTGCAAATTGAATGTGAACATGTTCTACCAATGATGTGGTGTGTTGGCCATCAGTCAAAGTTGTCTTTTAAAGACTTAAAGGGATTACAGTTAAGGTGGAAATCAGTATTATTCATTCAACAAGGCTTGCTTCACTTTCCATTGCAATGGTATATGGACAACCAAGCTTAAGAGGACTGCAGAGAGCACAAGAAGTGGTCAAATTAAGCACAGTATTGTTAGGTTTCCTAACTTTAAGAAGGTTTGCTTATTTAAATCTCACATATTTGTTTCATGCAATGTCAAAGAAACTAGCTGTTGTATTGAAACATTTCCATAACATTAAATTATATACTGATACTGATTTAAAAGAAAACAACAGTTGCAAGAGGTTTCATAAAGGCATGGGCTGATGTAGACATAATTTGACTATTGAAATTTTTGACTGATGTCTGTGAAATTGTTTAGTCCACAGAGAAATGTTTGCACAAAGTTTCCAGAGCTGGCAGAGATCTTCAATCAATGACGAAAGTCAAGAGCATTAGAAGAGAATAAACTGTATTCATGTCTGCATATGGCAACAAGAAATGCAGGCAACTATGAAACAGCTTTATACAAGATTTGGATTTGAAGAAAATTAACCATGACTGGATAACTGTGAAGTTAAATCTGAAAAACTACTTAAAACGTTTCACACTATTCAACCTGATGGTGAAAATAGCAGAATTTATCTACACATGGAATGAAGTAAAGTTTGTGAGAGAGAATAAAGTTTCAGTTGAGACACAATGAATGACTTATTTCAGGATAAACATAAATTCTAAGTGTACTGCTGAGTATGACCCATGGTTTGATATTGCTGAAAGGATGAACAGATGTACATTTTAAAGCATCAACAATATGGTGTTTATCCAACAGCATAAAGCATAAAACATCTGAAAATAATTAAAACCAACTAACACATCATATCTAAATTATGCTTTTCAATAACATTCAATATAGAAAGAGTGCTTGTTAAGATTACAAAGAAAATCAAAGTAATTTACCTGATAGCAGTACAGTCCAAAAAACTTGGGTAAGAGTGTTCTTGGATTTTGGTTCAGATTCTATTATAAAAAGAAATATGGGCCATAAGAAATAACAGAGTTTCAAACACTAGAAAATACAAATATTAAGATACATTTTAATACTTATATTAACAACAATATCATTTTCCACAAATTCATAACATTACTTTAGAAACAGCACAATTATATTCACTACATTACAAATTTTCGTAATTTAGAATGTGGGCCCACCTTGATACTGGAGTTTTTTAAAATCAATTTTCATATATACACAACATAATTTTTAAATTTTGGAAGAAAAAATATTCATTTTCAATGTTATTATAAAGCTCAATTCCGATTGGAGCTGTAATAAAATGCTATCCCTGAACACCAGTACCTACATAAAATAGGAATACATAACTAGAAACTTTAGCCTCTTCACTGTTCATTTCCTGTGTGGATCTTTTTTTTGTAATTTTATTTTGTAATATTGAGGTTGTTCATGATTATATAGTATTATCCTTTGTTTTGTAACTTCATATTCATTCATATTTTAAAAGTACTAAAAAATGTCTTGCACAATATTTTTAAGCCTAATTGTTCTAAGTTAAGAAATTCGTACATCTGAATATGTATACATATACTACACACTTTACAGGCATCCAGTATTCAAAATTTATTTAGGACAAATCTTAGGACTTCACCAACATTCACTGCTTTTATATTTCTGTACATGTGAAAACACAGTTTGTTCTGTTTGGTTTTTTGAGTTTATCAAGGCTGAATGGTAATATACAGCTGATGAAGTAAAGCAGTAAATGTCAGAGAATCCCCAGGATTCATTACAACACTTCTGTGAAATCACATTACCTTACTGAGGAGATGTGATAATCATGACTTTGTCACAAAATATAACAACTTGAATTTTGAGAACTGCCATGTGATGCATCATATGTGTAGCCATGGCAACTACATCTTTGTGGGGATATAGGGAAGAAGGTTAATGCAAGCCATATATTCTATAGCACAAAAAGTATGTATAAATAAGTACCATGCCATAGGCTTATGTTTGTTTTCTTTCACTGATTTACACAAAGCTACTCAAGGATTATCTGCTCTAAAAGTTTCTAGTTTTGAACTGATAGACTGGAGGGAAGGCAGTTAGTCAACAATATCCAATGCCTACTCTTGGACTATATTTGTCAGACTGAATAGTAGGATTTGACTGTCAACCTTACAATGCACCTACTGGATTTTTTTTTGGTAATGGGAGATGAAAAATGGACCTGCTGATACATTGTACAGCATGTTGAACACTGGTCCATGCCATTGTCCTCAAGACACAATGCAGTTAACTCTTTCCACACAGACTTGGTCAAATAGGCCAAGTTCATAACCATTTTGACTCATTACAGTTTTCATACTATAACTTTTAATACAGTACTTATATCTTCACAAAATCGGGCAGATTTTCAGTAAACATTACAAGACATTTGTACACAAAAATGTTTAACTAAGGGTTTTTAATAAAAATTTGTCTGTGAATATATTAATTAGTTTTGCTTACTAGTCTGAGTGCAAAGCGATTTTTTATGTTTAGATTCAAAATCCTTATATTCATCTGAAAATTTTCGAATTTCATTCGTGTAATCTCTAAAACTTCCTAAATGATTATAAACATTATTTTCAGTAAAACTTTATATTTTATCTGTTAGTTTCTCTACTTTAACTCTATACGAGGTAGGTCAATTTGACCAGCCTCATAACCACCAAAAAAAAAAATAAAATCAATAAATTACCCCTTTTTTCTATTCTAGAATGACTTCATATTTTAACATAAAACTACATTTATTTATCCTAAATACTTTTAACCCTATTGATACATGTCACAGGTCAAAGGCCATGTCATCGTGTTTGTTGACTCACATTCAAAATTTTATTGAACTACTATTTTATGAATTTATGTCAATAGATTTGGTTTGAAATTATAGATTACAATTCAAATTTTAGTATTATTTATTTAAAAGTAAAGATTAAAAGACACACTGAGAAATTGATTTTTGTCAATTTATGTCAATAAGTCTGGTATCAAATTTGTCGATTTTTGTGTGTCACGTGGTATGTTGAATGCAGCATTGATTCCAATTAGATGTTTGTGATGTCCAAATACAAAGTCTATAGTTTTATACAAATTAAGAACTCAAATTACTGATAATGACAAGCTACAATATCAAATAAGAACCTCCTATCTTTTCTATTTGCTGAATACAACTACATTTACCAACTAAAACACAGTTACCCCACCCACCTCTTTCCATTCTTGGAAACGCTTAGGTACACCTACTTTTGTCTGTGACATGTGAATGACCAGTTGAAGGTTCAGAATGTCCCCCTAGTGGCTTTCTCAGTCTTTTTGAAATATTCAGGCAGCAAACTCTTTCTTTTTATGCTAGATTCCATGCGGTAAGGTAAGACTTTAGCGAGCTCGAAATTTCATTTTTGAAGACCCAAATACAGCTTAATTACTAAGCTTGATAAATTATAGTGGAATTCTATGATAGTGATATAGTAATTTATTATTTTTGGTAATTTCAAAATTTACATGTAAAACCTAAAAGAAAATTATTTCACATCATCCACATGCAAAATTTGACAAGGCTTAGCAACCTACAACAAGCAGCAAACAAGTACAAAGTTCATAACTAAAAGAGATAATTGTTTGAGAAGTTATTTGTAAATAGTAATAATATATATACAGATATAATGAATTATAACTGAATTTGTGACTATCTTACAAAATACTAGTATACTAAAACACAGCCAAGACAGGTCACTTTGTAAAGGCCAGTTTTATACTCTTGGATACGGTAACATGAGTGCATGTGCACTGCATTATTACAACTTCTGTAATGTTAGCCTGGAACAGCTGAAAGGTCAATATAATAAAAATAATAAATATATATATATATATATATAAATGTATAATGTTACGAGAGTTAAAATATTTAGATATTTTTGTTTTCAGGTTATAATTTGTAGTCATTCTAGAATGAAAAAGCATAATTTATATTTATTTCCTAATTTTTTATGGTGGTTACAAGGTTGGTCAAATCGACTGAACCCTTACAGAGATTCGACAGTGAAAATAACAGATAAAATATAAAGTTTTTTCTTAAAAAATGTTTGATAATTATCTGGAGGTTATAAAGATTTCACAAGTGAAATTTTAAAATTTTCTGATGCATAAAAGTATTTTTGATCTTAAAATCAAAATTTCTTTGCATGTTGGACAGCCAACATTCAAAAAGAAAAAGGCATGAGAAAAACATTACTTTAAAAAAAAATCTTAAAACTTAAAAAATCTGATATTTTGCATACAAAAGCCTTGTAATGTTTAATGATAACTTGCAAAATTTAAAAGTTATAACATGAAAACTTTAACAAGCACAAAATGGTTACGAGGTCAGTCTGTGGAGCCAAGCCCGTGCTGAAAGAGTTTAACTTGTAACAGTATACATCTGTTTATACTTAAATTTCATTGTTTTATTGCTGTTTGAACTGTGTCTAAATTAATATTCCCACCATAAAATGTTTAAATCAATTGGTGAACGTGGACCTCATGTTACCCTATTGAATTACATTAGGCATGGACTACTTTCAAGCTGCTTACGAGTATACCTCTTAAAAATTTATCATTATTATTCTTTATGTTACGTAATCTAACCTAAAAAGTTTCTAACATTTACATTTTAGTTACTTTTATAATAATAATAAATAATGAATACACAAAAAAACAAGAAATAAAGTACTTAATTGGGTCTTCTTTTTTTTTCTGCAGTCAACTGTCAATGACACTTAACCCTACTTTTTTTATACTAATGGTACTACTGCACAAATTAGTTTTTTATTTAATAAAGTTGAAGGCTATAAAAATTATGCTTTGCCTGAGCAATGGCTACATTATGATATGTAATTTACATTAACTTTCATACTTCTTGGAGGGGTGGTAAATAAATTAAAGAAGGGATACTTAGAGAGTGAATGTCACAATTCTCACACTAGGGGAATTGAAGCTTTTTTAAATACTGCCTTATAAAATTAAGAATTTAAAAAGTTATATAACATTAAGATTTTAATTATTAGCTATGTTTTTATGCCAAGTTTATTTATATACCATGATAAGAAAATAGTTAAATTTTGAATATAACTCACTAAAACCTCCAGACATGCTCACAAAATGCCAGTTTTGAAAGGGTTAAAGGACTTAATGGATATTATTACACTGCTATAACCCCACAACAATTTAAGAAATGTACAACTGTAATATACGATCATACATTAGTAAGGTTAGAAAAAGAGCTTTTATTTGAATGCTGTCAAATATATCTACGAATTCCCTTGGCAAATACAGAGCTGAATATATGACAAAAATACCCTAACTTACTGGGTCAATTAAAAACTTAACCAATAACTAAAACCCTACTTAGTTATTTTGTAGCAATATTTTAGCCCTAACAAGTCAGTTGGATACAAAACCAATATGCTGTATATATTTTTTTTATAATGTTCAAAAACATAATTTCAATTTAGTCTCATGATTAGAAACATAAATGATATAAAATTACTTGTACCTGGTCTTTTTTTTTACTTTCACCTTTTGTATCAGAGATAAATCCTAATGAATAAAAGTTTTTTAAATGTGTGTTCCAGTGTTATTGGCTTGAGAACTTTCTTAAAATAACCCACTGTGTATGAATTGAAATATTATTATCCAAAAAGAAGTGTTGTTTTTGTAGAAATGAAGTCATTGTTACTGTCAGTGAATTGAATGAGTTTTAGTAACATTGAGAATCCTGTATCAGCCTTTCAACAGTAAAGTGATAGTTTTGTTCTAATAATTCATTCTTGGAGCATCAAAACAAAGCCAACCAGCTCATGGAAAACCATAAGCATTTGTTTGGAAGACTTTTACTTGTCATCAAGATAGTACAACAGTTAAAGATAAGCACAAAAACTGTTCAAATGAGTATGTGACAGATGTTGACCACATGATAACACTTATTAACTTTGCCTATAGCTATGATGGATAGAATTTAAGAAAATGATCAACCTGCATTAAGTTTGCATTACTGGATTCATGAATAAAATGGCGCCTCACCAAACAAAAAATAGCACGTTTGCTCATACTACATGTACAAGTAGCACCACTTTCTGTATTGTTGTAAATCTTTATTTACAGAATTTATTTCCCAAGCTGCACACAATCTATAAACTTCCTTGTCATAAAAGGTTTGTGGGAAACCTCATGTTCAGCAGAAGATCAAGATTAATAATTAAAAATAAAACATCATTTCTCAATCAAGATCAGAGATGTAATTGATCAATCGATTATATTCATTAGTGTCACATAAACCAAGTGATTAGTGTTTCTGATTATTATCATTTCAGTTATTCCAACAATCAACTGATTTAGATTCTAATTACATCGACTGTTAATTAATTAAAATTAGTGTTTCCAATTATTATCTATTTTTGTTATTCCAACTATTCAAGTAATCAAAATATTACCATAAAACTTGCTTGCCCTGCCTCTGTTATGGGTAAAAACTAAGTCAATCTCTACTGCCACTAATTTTTAACTGCTGACTATAGGGAAAGAGCAACCTGCTAACAACACCCACTACCAAGCTATTAACAAGCTATTAATGAAAATTATGTACTAACCAATTAATGAATGTAATCAATTAGCAAATACCACTAATAGCTCAGCTCTATGTCTCAGTGATATCTGATGGATTGGGTTACATTCCTACCAAAGAAATAATTTTGTGGTATTAACCATTCCACAGTCAGTGTTTTATTCATTTATCAGCATGACGAATCTCAATATACAAAAAACTACATCATACATCAATTTTAAACTTTATTATACTATTTTTATTTTATGTTCTGGCAGATAATGCAACCACTATGAAGTCTGCTTAAAAATATTTGAATAAGTATCTAGAACCTTAGTGCTAAGGGTCTGCAGCTCATACAAAACAGCTATTCACAGTGGGATTTGGCCACCTTCTTATAATGTACTTACAACCCCAAAGTGCAGACCATTGTTTTATATATATTTTGTTTTTGCTGTGCAAAAATCAATACTGCTTTATGAACTCAGCCCAACAACAAAAATGAGGGGTTAAAACATTTTCTGCTCAATGAAATGTTTATTCAAATTAAAAAACATATTAGCAGCTTATTAATCATTTTCTAGTTGGTTCAGTGATTCTTTTGCAGAGATTATGCTCAACTGACACTCAACATAATATGACATAAAAAATCTCCTACAACAAATTAGACAGATACCATCCTGGTTCTCACACACACAAATAAGTAGAAGTGATTACTTGTGGTGATACTCACCATGTAATAGCCTGGGAGTAATTTCTGAAGAAATTCTGCCTCCTTGTGCTGAACAGTTTTGATGATGAACTCATCATCTGTTGTGACATAAAATATACTTCCACTAGCCCCAGGATTAGTCAGCTCTCGCATTGGTTCATTGCAAACAGACAGCTATTAATGAAAACCATAGGTATAAATAAAAAATTATTTGAACAATCCATAGGTGTATTTCTATTCTCAGCACAAGTATTTTAAAAAACATAATTTCTCTACCCTAACACTTACTGTAGCAAAATCAGCAATGAAGGGAAAAGTTGAAAAATATGAATTTTTTTTTTCCTTCTAGGATGACTTCATATTATAAGACAATTTACACTACTTATTTTTACAGTGAAAACTAATACACTTTTCAAACCTGGGTTCATTTAGTTTTATTCCTTAACAGCTGCACTTATACCCTCTCAGAGTGCCCCAAAATCCATTTGTCACAGCAAAACAGCTTTATAAAAACAAACAATTGCCATACCAATATTACAAGAACACCTCATGATTATCATGTGCTATCATTGTTAGTATTTTTTATATTTATTTTCATTTAAGTTTCTTTTCCTAACCTAATATGTTGCCAATTTTTACATTTTAGTTACTTTATAATATTAAATACAAAATATAGATTTAAAAAAAAAGATATTTATTACTTGCATCTCAAATTCAAGCCTTCTGCTATTGGAAGATGTAACCCTGTAAGACTACTTTTTTGTAATAATGTTGGTGTTACAAAATATATTTTTCTTAAATTTAAAATATGCAATTTAGAATACAAAATATCATGAATAAAAAACAGAATGTCCTAAAAACTTCTACAATTTAATTGGCTTTCTCAGTAAGTTATAAATAAATGGATTGAAAAATTCTGTTAGCCGGTTGAAACAAACAAACACTAGAAAGGCAAACAATGAAACTGAGGCCAAATATTTCCAAACCTAACTACCCTCGAAAATAATTTAACAAAGCAAAATCTTCTCTTAAATCTCAGAAGGTATTATTGACATTTTTCAAAAGAAAGAAATGCGAGTTTGACTTTCTTTTGTTTTTATCTTAATAAAAACAAGAAGCTTAGAAGCAAATACATTTATATTATGACTTAACTATATCTATAGTACAAATAAGTAACACGTGCCATACTCAGATGATCATATAGAGGTAGAAAGAAAATTTAAAATGGGAAGGTCACTGCTAATTTCTGGAACTGTATAACATTCAAAACATTATCAGAGATAGACTAAATTAGTAGGATTTGCAGAATTGAAGACACAATAAAGTAATTATCTTATCTGTTTAACTTTTATCATAACTATAACCCTTTCCAAATATACAACACAAAAATCAGCCAGATTTAGTTGGAAGTTTGAGTATAAATTACCTATGTAAGTAAAGGACAAATGTTAAGATCACAGTAAAACATTACCAGTGTAGGTGTTCTGAACAAAATTACTCAGGAAAAAAAAAATACATAATCCAAAACAAGATTATACAGTAAAACATACATGAATCCTAACTAAGGAGTAAAATAATTTAGAATGTACGCATTCCATGTTTTTCACTGCTAGGTGTCATAGAAAAAAAAAAAAGATGACAGTAATTTTCCTGGTTTTCCTTGTAATCCTTTTTCTTGTTTTTAAAATAGGCCAAAGTTTTATTGAACTACTATTAACAACAGATTAGAAAATCAAGACTGAAATAAACATGCTAACTCACCAAAAAATCATCAGGTTGAATACCAAAGAGATCCCTGAAGTATCGGAAGGCAATGGGAGCATAGATCTTGAACTTGAAATCACTAAAGTGATGTGCAGGTGTAAAGGTGCTTCCTTCCCTAGCAGATGACAAACAAAACCGACTGGCAGGCAATTAAACCGCACATTCAACAGATAGTTAGATACAAACAAAACTAAATGTTCGGTTTTGTGTATTCTTATTCCAATATCAAAAACAAAGCTCAATTTATAAATTAGGGATTTTGTACATTTTGATACTGAATTTTTGCATTGCACTACTTTTTTTTTTTCAGTCTAAATGTTAAAAATTAGCTTAAAGCAAAATAATTACATAAGAGCTAGTGAATTATTCAGGAAACATCTGTATAAAACTTTGCAAATCTTGTTTTAAGTGACCATTTACATTTCTGTGCCAATTTTCATTAGAATCCATGCAGCCAATCCTGAGAGCTTCATAGATTACCCATCTGGGGCTTAAGTATGAAATTTCAAAAACTAAATATATTATGCTAGTTCTAAACAATCCCTTACTTGTTCACTTCAATTGTTAAGTAAATTCATGAATTCAGCCTTGAGAGCCTCCAAATCCCTTTTAACCCCCTAATGTAACTGAAATTTACAAATAAGTCAGTTCAGTGAAATATGAGAGCCTCAATATTTCTTTGATGCTCCATTTTTGGAGTCTAATCATTTAAAAAAAAGTTATGTTCATATACTTAGGGAGTTAAGAGCCTACAATCACATTTTCAAGTTCATCTGTCAAGTACATAAATACTTGCAAAGATACAATTGAGCACCATCAATACTTCTTCCAGAACTTTCTATGAAGAATTTCAAAGTTAGCAAGTGCACCATTAGAGAATAAAATGTTTAATTTTTTGACAATAATTACTGAACTACTTCATTACCAGGTGAGTCCAACCAATATTCCACTCATAGGTATATGTAACATCTTAAAAAAATAAGGTATGTATGAAATTAAGTATTACACTACAAATATCATGGATTTCCCCATTTGCTCAATTAAAACTCATAAAATTCTTCCTTAACTTTTTCCAGCATCTGACTGGTTAAAAACAGTGCCACAACATTGCAGCTTCAGCAATAGAATCCAACAGACAACATATATTTTCTTTTTCCCTATTTTTTTAATTTCTAGTTTTCCTTTCTACTTTTTATTTTTATTTTTGCTTCTCCTTTTCATTGAAACAAAATTCTTTTGAAAGTTTCAAAATCTCAAAATCATTCCAGTACTTTTGGATGCATATTTCACAAGGATATTTATTCAATCCTTCCTTTGTTTTTATCAAAGCATCACAACATATATATAAGCTTTCATTCAGGACAAATACATTTAATTAATTTTAATTAATTAATTAATTTAATTTTTTAATAAATTTAATTAATTTAATTTTTAATAAATTTAATTAATTTAATTAAAAATTTAATATTCTTATTTATAAAACCATCAACTAAGCATTTTTTTTAATCCCAAGTTGGGCTCACCTTGCAAATGGTATAGTCTCCACAATGGCAAAATCTTGCATTAATAAATCTCTCTCTGGTTTTGATGCTAGCTTTCCCACAGCATAACCAATACCCAGTTGAATTGAGCCCATGATTTGGGATGTCTGAATCTGAAATTCCAACAAAAGTAAAAGTATTACCAAAAAGAGAATAAATTCAACCACTAAACTCCTATGTCTGCATCTGTAAGATTTGCTCAAACAGAAAATATTTTGTAATTTACTATATTAAACATTTATGCTTTACTAGATTCCTAAATCAGGAGAACTCTTCACTCTTTTGATACTTTTTTTTAGCCATCCAATACTAAGTTTGTGTGTTTAGGGCTTCAACATTGAGCAAAACATATTACTCAAGGTGTCCAAAAACTACATAGATCACTAAAAAATTATAAATATAAATACACTTTTATGACACATTTGATTCTTGACTTTCAAATAAATAGTTTCTTAAGTTCTTCTAATCATAATATTATCAGGCCCAAAACAAGCACCAGAAAAATTGCTACAATATCACTTCCTTAAAAACTCGTGTAAGTGAGATTTTACCAGCCACCTCAGACTTGCCTGACAGAGTTCATATAAACCATTCAATAACAGTCACTCAGAAAGTAAACTTGTTCTGAAAACTTAATCCTTGTTGATAAAAATAAATAAGAATCAAATAGGAATATACAACATTAAAAATGGAGAAAATTCAAAATTTATTTACTTATTGGCTTTCTCACAATATAGTTTAAAATTGTATTTTAAAATGCAAGAAACCATTTAAAAGTGGGAATAACTATGTACAGAATACATTATCAAGAAATAAAAATAGCTATGACCAATTTCAGTAACCATAGTAAATTTTGAGTTATGAATTTGTTTCGTATTTGGGCTGAATTGATGTAAATATTATCATTATTAGCACATACATCATTGCAATTACAATTAATCATACTTTTTTGTTCCTCAAACTTTTTAATTAGTACATAGCTTAACTATAGTGTCATCTTACACAGAAGCATTGTATCAGTTAACCATTTATTCTTTTCCATTTCTAAATTACCTATTAAAAAATCAATCAAAACATTACATATAGAAGGAATTATGAACACCAGCTGTAGTAGCAAAGCAAAGATTTTATAGGCTAGAAGCTGTTTCTGAAGCTAAATTTCCCTTTTTCGTTAAACATGATTAATTCTGACATTGAATCACACTTTGCAATACAAATTCACCCTATCTGAATTTCAATTTCACCTTCATGTATCACAAACTATGATGTAATTTCTATTATGGTTATTAAAATTGCAGCCCATATCAGAGATAAATGGAATTAGATATAATGTTCAGTTTGGTGATAATATTGCTGATAAAAAAATGTTTTTAAAGAGTTGGGACAAAATTTAAGTAATTTTTATTTTATAACAAGATCTTATTTTTATTTTGGAAAATAAAGATATTCTGAGTAGAAAAATAAATTAAGTGAGAAGGCATAATATGGAAAATCACAGTACAGTAGCAGTTTTTGACATTAGGAATGCACCGAGATACTAAATATAATATTCAAATATTTTTAATACAAAATAGTCTCTTGAACTTTTTTTTCAAGATTCAAACAAATTGATGGAATATTTTTTTTCTGTATTGCTAGTACAAGACAGCATGATAGCCACATGCTAGCAGGGTGTTATGCAAATTTTTCAAACTCCTATGCAGGATGTTTGAAACAAATTACCCCTAAATGAATAACCAAAAAATCTCAAACTTGCATTATCTGGATGCTAGAGCAACTAAACAAAGTAATCTTGTCTGAGTAATCATGTTTTATTTGGTAATAGGCTAAGCACATACTTATACATGCTTTTTTTTTACTTTTCTAGACTTACTTTGGGACTCAAAGCTTATGCTCTTGGTAAAATAAATGCATTATTTCTAATGTTAAATCCAAACATATCTTGTATAAGATCAACCAATACCAGTCTCTCACAACAGGTACCTGGCTGTAGCAGATATAAAGTTTGGTTGTTTTAATTAATTAATATAAAGAAAATTATAGAAAGAGGTGAAATAAAACCTTTCAATTTGCAATAAAAGTTAACAAGAAAAATATTATTACCACAGTTGTGCCTAAATTGCAAATAAAACACAACTATCTTTAAAAACTTGGAAACATAAATTGATTTTTACTGTAGTCACTAGCATGAAAACAATTAATATTCAGATAGTTATGGTGGATGTAAAAAGAGATCTTCAAAGAGGAAGCAAGAGATATGTTTGTGACATCACTTAGATTATTTTGTTGGGGCAAGGAAAGTCTAATACTAGTTAATAATAACTAACTTGTTTTTTTGTGTTTTGGTTTGTTATTAATTTCACGCAAAGCTACACAAGGTCTATCTACACTAGCCATCCCTAATTTAGCAGTGAAAGACTAGAGGGAAGACAGCTAGTCATCACCACCCACCACCAACTCTTGGACTACTCTTTTACCAACGAATAGTGGGATTAACTTTCACATTATAATACCCCCACAGATGAAAGGGCGAGCATGTTTGTTGGGATGGGAATTGTTCTTTGTAGTTTACTTCACATATACAAATGTGAATACTACTCTCTTAGTACTGCACTGTTTGTCAGAGATTTAATTATCTGAAATAATACTTATTCCATGAAATCAATGATTAAAAGAAATTACAACGAATTTACAAAGTACTAAGAAAAAAGAAATAGAAAAATAATACAAATCACCTTATATAACATGCATATAATAATAAAACATACTACAACCATTACTATTTACTATAATTGATACTTGGAATTGTCGGTATTTGGTGAAACTCCATAATTACAGAATTGAGGAAAAAACAAGGACATTTCTACATTTCACAAATGCTCCAATTTTTAACAACCCTGGTTTCATCCGATGATGCCTTTACAGGCGAAACAAGGTCATTAATAAATGAAGTATATGTGAAACTTACAATTGTCTTTCTTTTTTTCCCTCAATTCTGTAATTACTGTTTACATCAAAACTATGTACAGTAATACTGCAAACACTAGTTTTGACAATCAAAATGAGTGACAATAAAGTTTGTGAGAAGCTAGTAACTTTTCTTACACACACACTAAATTACAAAGACAAAAATCACTCAAGAAACCAGTACATATGCACAGTTATCCACAACACTGTAAAGAAACTCAGTTCCTCAGGACTGTTTCTTTTTTCAAAATTCATGTATAACTAATTACCAACAAAGAAAAAATGCTCAATCCAAACCTTTTTATATGTAATCTGACCACTTTCTTCCACTCTTCTGTGTCCAATTTTCCTTTCTTTATCTTTCTTCCTCTCAGCAGCAGTTCCAGGAGTTTGAGGTCCACTTGTATTGGGAGTTTTGGGCCCATGACTAGTTTGTTGAAGAAGTTTTGCTTCAGTCAGCTATGGAGTAGATCAAACCCATAAACAAAGTTAAATTATCAGTCATTTTTACTTCTCTATGTAACTCAACACTCCAAATGTCAATTAATGTTCACATCAAACAATAAATTGTAATTGGATTATTTCAAAATGTACTATAAAGGGTATGAAGGACAAACTGAATTAATCTGGTACAACTCTAAACTATTATTCATGTCTCATATGCTTAGCATCAAATTTTATAAACCATATCATTTTTGAAGAATTTCTGCAAATACTAATTGTATTGAACCACTCATATTATTGAAAATCTTGTAATAAAAACAAATTAAACATTACAAGAGTTCTACAACATTATACATAAAAAAAGAATTGTTTACATTATGAACTTGCAAGGATGCATTTTCAGTTCAAATCATGTGAAACAAACAGATAAAAAATCTTCCAAGTAGTTTTTTCTAGTTAACTCTCTTGCTACTGTCAAATCAACCAATCTCGTAACCATTTTGTACTTGTTATAGTTTCCATACTATAACTTTTAATACACTTTGTGCATCTATATAGTGTCAGACTTTTAGTAAACATAACACGTCTTTTGTATACAAAAAATAAAATATCTTAATGAAACATTTTACTAAAGATTTGTCTATGAATATATATAGTATTTCTATACACTAGTTTGTGTGCAAAGTGATTTCCACATTAAGATTAAAAATACTTTTCTTCATTTCAAAAATCTCATTTTGTTTGCATAATCTCTAAAATCTCATTTTATTTGCATAATCTCTAAAATCTCATTTTATTTGTATAATCTCTAAAATCTCATTTTATTTGCATAATCTCTAAAATCTCATTTTATTTGCATAATCTCTAAAATCTCATTTTATTTGCATAATCTCTAAAATCTCCTAAATAAATACCAAACGTTTTTTCAATAAAACTTTATATTTTATCTGTTATTTTTACTACCCTAACTCTATACAAGGATGGTCAATTTGATTGACTTTGTAACCACCAAAAAAAAATATTAATAAATCTAAACTACCCTTTTTTTGAGATTATACAACATAAACAAAGATAATTTATATTTACATTCATGAAAGAATCAAATCAAAAATAACTACTTTTCCTCTACATTGATCTACATGTCAAAACAGTTACATGTAGTACAAATTACCATAAGGAGGAGTTATGACTTGTCTTTTATAACAGGAAAGACAACAGGGCATTTTCTATATTTCAACAATCTATACAATTAAAAAAATAGGTAACCTTGAGATAAAGTGATTTGCTTATAAAGTTTATAAATCTATTAAAAATAATTCTACATCAAAAGCAATAGTTACACAAGCAGTTTCAAACACATACATTACCAGAGTCAGTTTTCACTGCAAATGTTCACCTTGACCTCAACATATTTTCTGTGAATTTGAATGTCAAAAGGTGTACTATAACTTAAGAAACAAGCAACAGCCATGGAAACTTCTAAGTTTTTCACTAGCATTTTTTTTTGGTTAATGGGCAAATTATAAGGCTTCATCTGCATGTTAACTGTGATCAAAACTTAGTATAGTGTTTAAGCAGGTTAGGAACAAAAGTTCATAAACATATGGTGACCTTCAAAATATATGCACATCAATGTCCCTTCATATTCAATACTACAATCAAAAAAGCTATTACTGAGCTGTAATTCTGACTAACAGATCTTAATATATAATGTTTTGAATCTGTGAATGCTATCTTTTGTTACTTATAATAATTAATCTGCACTTCTGAAAACAATGTCCTAAATAAATTTAGATAAACCAAATCAAGTTAATGAAGTAAAAGCATTACCATGTTCAATAATCTACCACCTACACACCGCAGTTAACTACACAAAGCAACTCAATAAAATTGAATGCACTCAAACTTTTACAATTTAAAAGTACAGGTCTGAACCATAGGTTCAGTAATAATACTCTAAAACACATCTACACATTTACTTACATCTACAGGTGGTGGCCGTTTTTTCTGCTCAGCTTCTCCTATAACATAAATACGATTGAGTGAAATAAAATATATTCACACAGTGTATATCATGTAACATCTGTTAATTAAACCAATTTAATATCTGTATTTCATTGACATACTTGCAATGTAAGCAAAACTCAATTTTCTTTCTTTTCTCAGTGTGAATGGTTTACTGTTTCTAACTGTCTACCAACATAGATTAATGAAATAGAGGTTCATGTAGTGGTTCAATTTTTTCTTCTTTCATGCATTACTTACTGATAAAATAAAGAAATAAATGATACTTATTTTGTTCTGGTGACAATCTAAAGAAACTATTATCCTAATTTGTGAATTTTAATGACTATCTGATATTTTTGTTATTTAACAAAAAGTAAGTAATTTAGAAATTTGAAAACTTTCAATATCCAACTAGTAGAATTACACAACAATTCAAAATTACATGCAATTAATTATTTATTCAGCCTTCTGGATGCCCTGAAATGCAAAAATTAACATGGTTTTACTTTCATCTAGAATTTAACTACACTTACTAAAACACTAATTTCAGTGTCTAAATATTATATGACATTTCAAGTCTTATAATCCCTTAGATGTAACCAATATAAGACACGACAATTAAATCAATTAATCAATATGTTCAATTACCTATGAGAATAGGTTACATTGATTTATTGTCAGTTAAAAGAATCAATTAATCACACTTATGATTAAATCAGTTAATATCACAAAAACAACCCACTAGTGTTTGATTATTCCAACTATCCAGAAATTGAAATTATAATAAAACCAATTAATGTCACAAAAATAATCAACTAATTGAAATTTGTGTTTCCAATTATTACTTTTTTTGGTTATTCCAACTATTCAGTAACCAAAATATTGCTATTACAATCTGCCATTATTATTTTTCATTAATTCAACTTTGTTCAACTTAATCAATTACTGTCATGATTCACACAAATAATCAATTAATCAAAATTAGAGTTCCTGATTATTCAAATAAATTAAATATTACTATTATATTTGTTGTTAAGCACAAAGCTACATGATGAGCTATCTGTACCATGCCCACTACAGGTATCAAAAACCAATTTATAGCATTATAATTAATTTTTTCCTGTTGAGCCAACTCATGAAAATAAACACTGGAAGTAATCATTTAATGAGTCCAACAACTAATCAGTTATTCAATTCCACTAATCACCCAGCACTAGTAACAGTATCATTGTTTAACTGTTAGTCCTATTATATAGCCTTCTGCTTTTTGAATCTAAATTCATGCATAGCAAACATTTGATCATAAAGAGGTACAAAAATTGGTTTCATTCATTTTCTGTTTACAGCAGTAGTAACATGAAGCAAGAGGTCCAAAATAGAACACAATGTCAAGAGACTGGTTTCTAAAGTTGATTATACTTTTTTATGATAAGTCCAAACCAAATAAACAGCTAAGGCTAAATCTTCAATTATATGAAAGCAACATTTCTACATAAACTTTACCTGATAATGGTTCTTCAGTGAGCCGTTCTGCAGTTCCTTCTTCTCCTACTTGTATTTTTCCATTGCCTTCATTTTTTTCTTTAATTTCCTGTTCCTCATTCTTTTCACCTAATTCTTTAGTCACAACAACTTCTGCTGCCATGATATGACATCAAGCTAAAAAAAGTATGTTTAAAATTTTTTTACAGAAAATAAAAATTTACATTCTGGAAGAAGACACTTTGAAGTGTGGTTCACATATTTAGCAGACAGCTATTTTACAATGCTTGAAAATCTTGTGCAATACGTGTTCATGAACCCACATTTACTGTTAATATTATAATCATTTAACTGTTTGAACACAATATACAAGAGCATACATAATGTACATATATTATCAAATGATTCATTCAAAAAGTATCATTATAATGTGAACGTGTAATTTTACATTTTACTGCAATTTCTATTATTAATTTTATTGAAAATTATAAAACATTTAGGGAGAATCACACTTAGGTTTAAGAAATATATCTGCATTAAGCCAGAGCCCACTAGGAAAGGGTAAACAAAAGTGATTTAAGTGTTAATTTAACCAACAAAAATCAGTAAATAGTATTTTTAACTTGTGATTGAGGCTACATACCTCTTTTCTACTTGGAAATGATTTTGTATTGAAAGAAAATCATATTACTTCTTCTAAATTAACATTACGAACTTTTTAAAGAAAAACAAAATGGGCCAAACATTCTGAATTATACACATATTTTTTCACTTAATAAATTTAAATAAATCCATTATTTTTATATGAACTTCAAACTACTATCAAATCTAGAACCTGTTTCCTCTAAAACATTAAGAAGTAGACATGTTTTAATTAATGTTACAAAAGCCATTAGTGGGTTTGGTTAATCTATGTATGTGAGGTGGATTAAGGAAAGAAATATTAATTTTATAACTAGGAGCAATAAGTACAGGTTTATAAAACCTAGAACCGGACTCATTCTTCGATATTCATAAATTTTTGAAATGGTTTACCTGATGATGCAGAGTGAGCTGTTAGTTCTATGTTACTTAAAGTTATAATGGATGGGTATATCATTACAAAGATTCAACTTCAGTTTGAGTGATTGCTTTGTTTCGATAGTTTTGGTGGATGAAAGGGTAATTTGACCACACAGTATACGTTTTCCCATTAAGATTGTGTTGCAGCGAATGAAAAAGATGGTAATCTGATGATGCCATATCTGGAGAATATGGTGGGTGGGGGAGAACTTCCCAACCCAACTCCATAATCTTGTGTTGGGTCAAATGTGACACATGTGGACGTGCATTGTCGTGGAGAAGAACACCTTTCCACTTGAGGAGAGAATGGTATTTCTGAAGGGCTTAATTTAAATGTTTCAGTTGCTGACTACAGATCTCTGCATTGACAGTTCGCTGTGGATTGAGGGGTTCGAAATGAATTACTCCTTTGATGTCCCACCAAATGCAAAGCATCGCTTTCTGCCGATGGAGTCCAGATTTTGGATTCGGAAGTGGTTTTTTTTGTCTAGGACTGAGCCATTATTTTTGGTGTTTAATATTTGCATAGAAAATCCATTTTATCACCGGTGACAATTCTGTCACGAGCATTATGTGGCAGAAGAGAAGAAGCAACATTCACACGTTGGAAACAATGATCACCAGAGAGTTCGTGAGGCATCCAAACACCTTCTTTATAGAGTTTTCCCATATTCCTTAGATGTTTACATATTGTATCTATTTACGTATTGTTTCATGAGAGACATGCAATTTCAGGGCCATTTCACGAGTGTGTTGCCTTGGGTTAGACTCAACAAGCGTCTTCAGAGCATCAATATCAATTCCAACATGTCGGCCCCTGCCATCACAGTTTTTAAGGCTAAAGTCACCTAAACGAAATTTGCTGAACCATCGTTGACACTTACGAGTGTTCAAAACATTTCCATAAACTTCTTTCATATTCTTTGTGGCTACAGAGACGTTGTTTCAAACAGCATTATATGCCAAATGTGTTTCTCGTCGTGTGTCATCACGATAAAGAATTAGAGTATACTATACTTTACACATTATATAGGCTACACTAACGTGACGTTTAGGCGGTTCGTTAAACTATTATACGTGATGTACGATTTTTTGGGGGGTGGTTAATGAAGGTGTTCCAAAACGCGACATTAATTTCTTGACGATCTAATACTTAGCATTTTCAGTTAAAATGGTTCAAAGAAGTTTAGCCTTCCTTATTAGATCCAAAATACTTAATATGTCAGTTTCAATTATTTTAAAGTTGGCTCTAGATACGTGTTCCTTCTTTAGTCACGAATGAAATACATTTATTTTTTTAAATAAAAAACAACTCCACATAACCCAGACTTTAACTTGAGCGGTGCAATACTACTAAATACTTACTGGATTTAGGACTAGCCTCCTAAGTTGCAGTGCTATACTACTTAATACGTATTGGATTTAAGACTAGCCTCCTAGACTGACCAGATCTTGAGTGATATTGTTGAGTTTACAAGGACACCCAACTGATGAAACAAAACATTCTAATCAGTATAAATAATACAGTTGTGACATTATATTTAATTAGCTATAATTATTACTAGGTATGTATTTTTAGTTCTCATCTACGAAGGTGCTTATTGGGATCAGAAGTTATTATTAATTATGCTGGTTTAGTGTGTAAGGTGTAAATTAATGTGAATTTACTTTTCATCAGTCTCAATGGATAATTAACGAGTGAAATAGTCAAATAAGGCAGGAAGGAGCGTAGTACAATGGTTAGCGTGACGGACTGTGAATCCGAGGTGCTGTGCATCGCGTCTCCGTGCCACAAACAAATATAGCGCTCCACATTTAGGAGCCGTGGGTACGTTAAAAGAGGGACTGTGAAATCCCTCTATTCAAGTTGATAAAAGTATACCAATAGCTATCGATCGGTGATGTTGAGTAGCTCCACTATATTATATCAAAAGTAGAGACGACTAGTACAACTAGCTTTGTGCGAAATCCAACAAACAGCACAATCGTGGGATTTAGTTTTGTCATTTCTTTGAAATATCAATGTTCATTTTCTACAAAAGCAGCATTTGCAAATACACTAAAACTTTACTAAATTTTTTATGTTTTGTCTATTTTACTACTCACGCTAGTATTGCTTATCGATTATATAATACACTGGAAGTGGAACTATTTCAGTATCATTAATATTAATAATAATACATTACATGACTTAATAATAGGCAATTTAATTCCAGTTTCTATTTTTTCGTTCATTTGTTGTTGTTCGTATATTTGGGAAAAGTAGTTTCGTTCTACATTCTGTTGTTCCTTTATTCTTTCAGCGTCGGCGTAAATTAATTTTTAAATATTATTTTTATTCTTTTGCCTTTTTTAAGGCCTTCAAATCACAAGTTATGTGTAGGTTAGTGGGCGACAAAGATAAATTTTCTATACAGATCGTCAACATTCGACTTAGTTTAACTAAATGTTTATACATATATTACTTTGTTTATTTTTCTTTTTTCGCAAAGTTGCCCAATAGTTGCATGGATTGAGACCAGTCCAACTGGGGATTGTTATAAGTTATAAGTTCTTATAACTTATGCTGAAAAACACAGAAGGACGTAGTAAAATGAACAGTAATTAAATATATTACAATATTCTTGTAAACTTGCCTCTCTACTTGTATTCACAAAGTGCACAGATATCAGCTTGTTTGTGACACAGTTATTCTCAATTATAGATCGTGAGTGTAATTTTCAGCTTTAATTTGTGCATTAGAGTTTTAATTGTATCTAGCTATTTATTAACACTTTTAAACAGTTGTTTAGGTATTCAAACATATTTTCTTAATCTTTTTATATGTATAAATTCTCCAATAGATGTCTCAAGCACATCAAAATTATGTTGTTTTTTTGTTAGAAGTTAAGCAAAAAGCTACACAATGGGCTACATGTGCTCTGTCCACCACGGGTATCGAAACCCGGTTTCTAGCGTTGTAAGTCAGCAGATATACTGCTGTGTCACTGGGGGGCTCAAAACTCTGAGAAAAAATATACACCTCAAAAAATAATTGCGTTTCTTTGTCATGATGAACACTAGTTTGCTGAATAATACTTCTATCCTTAATTTCTAGCTTGTAAAACATATTGAAGCCCACAAGCCCCCAAATAAAAACTCAACATAAATATTTGATGTATCTTGTAAGTAAGGAAATTATCTTACGTGTCACAGAAAGATAATCTGTAGGCTCCAGGTTATCCTAATAGGCCACTAGAAATGTTAAAACGAAAGTTAAATAACTATCCATGCAATAATATAACAATTGTATAAAATAATTCTTTTATATATCTTATTTTTTTCATTAGCCGTTGTTTAACTCAACATCCATACAGATACTGACAGAACAAATAAGTATTTAAAAAAGCTGAGGTGATTGCAGAAAAACGATAAAACACTAATTTTAAGGAACGATTTCATTATGAGTAAGAATAGTTGGACTCCAATGAGTCCACTCACTTCCCTGAATACGCGTCAAGTCAAGTGGATGAACTTTTAAAATTGATTAATCTTCTACCAGTGAACGATAGCAGCACAAAAGACTAATCTTTATTTGCTGAGGCTAGCAGAATTCTTAGATCTTTCACATGAATAAGTCAGTCTACATCAATTTAATGATTAAACTCTATCTAGTGGTATCGTTACCAAGAGGCATATTATAACAAGTTCATTAAAGAACTAACCCTATGTAGTACAAGTGTTTTAACAAAGTGCTTATATATTCTCAGTATATAAATACTTATATTTATTTGTAGTTCATAAAGGTGTCTTTGATCATCAGAACGGACATAAGCCAAAGTAAATATCAAAAATTACCACTGGATATTTTACTGAGTCATCAAAACGTACATGAAGAAATAAACCAAACAGACAAATTCTTATTCAAAGCCTTTTTGAGCAACCAATCTTTGTTTCACTACCATAGAAGAGTATTGCCATAAGGTCTGAAAGAGTGCAAAAGTGTAATACGTACATTTGTTATTTACTGATGTTTTTTAAACCAAATTTTGGTGAGGAAATAAAGATTTTTTTCCTAGTTGAGAAACAAGAATAAATATTTAGTTTACACCACATTAATATAACAGTAGAATCAT